AGTATTATTTAGTAATGCCTGAAGGAGATTTCCCTTCTCCGGTGTCACTTTTCACAAATGTCATAACAGTCTTCAAATCTTCTAGTTTTCCCAGACACTTGGTGTCTTTTCGAGATTTGAGATGTAGTAGATACAAACCCTAAGCATCAGGGGGAAGCTGGTTCATCACAAGAATTGTTTTTAATTTGTAACTTGTGATCGGATGTGTATAATGTGTACTTATATTTATGTAATGTAAATATTATTTGCTGTTTCTGTAGATGTTTGTTTTTATCAAAGACTAAAAATCAATAAATGTTACATTTTCGTAACAAATGCAAGAAAAAAAATCTTTCAGAGATGGAGTTAACATTTACATCAGCTGTTTTCTTGTGTGCTTTATTTAAAAAAATAAAAACTTAAGGCAATGCAACGTGCTGTAGGCAGACATGATGCAGATCATCCTGTTGATAATGTACAGTAATTATTTACTGACTGATAGCCTACTGTTAAGGTCCCTGCACAAGTTAGTGTAAATCACAATGACAGATTGGAAAGCTTGGGAAAATAAAGGAAAATGAACAGCTTGGCTGTAGGAGCTGCAAAGCTTTTCCAACTTAAAGGGCAACACAGATGGAGAATGCATTAAATAAAATGGACCCTAAGTGTAAAGGCTAAGTTGACATGGAGGATAGAGTAGTTCCAAGACATACTGAACAAGGCATCTGAGGAGAGCAGTGATTAAAGCTACAGTGTGTAATTTTTTTCAACTATTTTTGTTGTAGAAATCTGCTCCAAAACTTGTCTTAATGTGGAGAGGTGCTGTCGAAGCCTCCTGTGACCCAGACTCATTGAACAGCACCGGTAGCAGTGCAGAGATGTTGGCTTCTAAAAGGTTTTGAGCAGGACTGACCTCTCTAACCAATCAGAGATTTTCAATTATTTCTGCGTGATTGTCAGGTTTTGTTGCAGCCCGATTTACTGTAATTTCATGATTATAAATATCTGAATATCTATCAGGAAGAGGGAGCGCTGGGCGGAGCAGAGCGGACTGATTTGGAGTTTCATACTGTAGCTTTAAGTTTCTGTTAAACACTATTGAGTGAGTGGTATGCAGTAAAACACTGACAGGAACTTACTAGAACATGATCGCTGTACAGCTTCAGACTGAATTGTGTACAGTGTTTTAATACTTGAACTGTATTCAAACCATAAACCCAGACCCCGAAAAACTCCTTGCTTCTGCACTTTTCATCCCCTCCCACATGGAGACATATCTTCTACAGGCTAGAACAGAAACATCATGATTCTGGACATCTAAAGGTGCTTCATTACAGCAGATTTTCATTTATAATCACTGCTCATTTCAGTCAAATGTTTTCCAAAATCACTATAAAGCTGTGACGATAACATTTCTGTTCTAAAAGTTGCATAATATCATCTTTCACATTTGAGACAATGATATAAGTGAGCTGACACACACAACTGTCTGACATTTCCCCACTTGGAAAGTATATATCTTCATGCTGGGTTCTTTGAGAAAAAGTGTGCTCTTTGGGATGCATGTTAAAACTTAGCATACACTGCATCTTTCCCAAGTGTAATGATAACACCATTCTGGCACAGCCTACTCCCTAGTACAACAAAAGCTCCATAAAATGCACATTATCTACAAATCATTTAGTGCTGTAACCTCACTGAACATTCTCGGAGCTGTCGCAGGCTGAGAGGTCCATCTGGTTTTACATTTGTTGGCATATGTCTACAGTTACTTGGTGGATGTGCGCTTTTTAGCAACCGTTTTGTTTAATGCTACATCAGTTAAGTAATGTCTGCAAGTAAATGGCAAGGCTGTAACTGGGTCCTGCCCAACATGTCTAGTAGTCTTTTAACCACAGCAGCCTTGATGATCGGCTAGGTGATCTCGATGAGATCTGCCTCTTTTGGTTCTTTGGTTTGGTTGGTCCTTTCTTCTTCCTCAGCCTCTTCAGGTCCAGCCTCATATCCTTCATCCCATGAGGCCGAGCTGAGCCCAGCAGGAGCTGACAAAGAATGAGGCGTGAGTGTTTTCCCCAGGCCCTGGTACTGACCATTGGGTGACACCGGGTTAGATGCCGCCTCAGCAATGGCATCCTGGGAGCCTGAAGAGAGCAGGCCAGATCGCTCACTGTCATTCTGTGCCTCGGTGAAGTAGAACTTTCTTGGACGGCCCATTACTGTTCTCCCTGTCAGTGAAGATAGAAAAACTCAGTGCAGTCTTCTCTCTGTGAACCTAACCTGGTTGGGAGCAGGTTTTGTTCGGGAAACTCAGAGTTTCCTCCGGGTCTCCGCCCCTTTTTAAAGTGAACGGTGTTTAATACCTCATTTAATCTTTCAGTACATTCATAGATTGCACACGTTTCCGTCACGCAGAGACCAAAATGGCGTGTCCATTCATAGAGGATCCTGTAGATGAGGACGCTGTATTAATTTTCAGGGAATTGCATTTACGTCGGGAGAGGATATTGAGGGCACGAGTTGATTTTTTGTCATATCCCCATGTATTTTTATTTGAGCGGTACCGTTTTTCTAGAGAGTCCATAACATATATCAATAATCTTATCCACCCATACATCAGACACATCACCCATTGTGGCCGTGCTCTTACATCCGAGCAGATGCTTTGTGTTGCGTTACGATTTGTTGCAAATGGCAGTTTGCATCGGGGATGCAGAGCCCATTAGTAAGGCCACAGTATGTAGAATAGTTCGGAAAGTGTGCCTCACCCTCAAGCGCTTTCTGTGAATTTTTGTTGTGTTTCCTGGGCACAAACCCCTCAGAGCCATTAAAGAGGAGTTTCACAGGATTGCAGGTTAGTGGTATTGAATTCGTTTCAGTAAGGCTAATCTGAAAAATGATGATCAGTTAATAACATCTTGCTGTGACCTCTGGAAATAAACTAATAATTAGAATCCCCTTCAGGATTTCCAAATGTGGTTGGATGCATTGATGGCACACATATTCCCATCAATGCACCTACATGAAAATTAAAATTCAATTCTTATATTATTACATCAGTGTTGGGTCAATTTTAAAAAAGTATTTTGATTAATGTAATACTTACTCTCCATAAAACGTACTGGATTATTTATTAATCATTACTTTACAAATCCCATATCAACCACAATAGGAATTTTAAGAAAGGGTAGACATAAAACTGCACTTTTAATTCGTACAAAAATCGGTATTTTATGCAATTACTGAAGTTACTCATTCAATTATTGAAGAATTAAGAACCATTCCTTACTTTACAAGTGACAAATAATAACATTACTAACATTATTTAGTAATTACTTACACCGAACACTGTATGATTAAAATGTAAACGTACGCATTGACTCGGGCAGCTATTTTCCCCCCCGCTAACTCTTTCTCTTTCACCGCTGCAGCCGTGTTGTTTTTTTTTTGTTTGTTTTTTTTACGAAATATGGGCTCGTAGTCCCTATATGCTTGTAGTAACACATCCATTTCTGTCAGGGAAAAACGCAGACCTATTTTGGCTTGGTCCTGTTGCCATGGTGACTCGTAATTTCTTCACTCCATTGTTCAGGGCTTTTTATAGTCGCATGGCACGCGCCTAACTCTGAGTCAAACAACTCAGAGTTGATTAAACCAACTATTTTCAGCTGTTCTGAAACCGAAAACTCCGAGTTTTCCAACTCTGGGTAAGTCAACTCAGAGTTCAGGTTTGAACTCTGAGTTTGTTAAACCGCCTGAGTTTGTTAAACCGCCTGTTAAACACAACTGTGTACACTGGTGATCAGGAGGCACCTACCAACATTGCGGACTTGCTCAGAAATGTCTGCTCTCACATCAGAGATGTCCCACATTGCCATGAAAGACTCAAAGCAAGAGCCCTCCTCGGCCTCTTGGATATAAGGCTTGTAGGTGAAGCTGAAGTGGTGGGCAATGGCTGCCAGAAACATCTCCACACAAATGATGAAATCCTGAAGAAAACAGGACAGTTCAGTGTGAGATTTGGTTAGTGGTGCTGCAGGAAGGTAGTAAAACCAATGGCAGATAACTGCAAAAAGTTAATTAGGAATAAAAACTGAAAATCATTCAGTTATGTGCATTTCTTCTTTTCCAGCTAGATCATCTCTAACTTACCTGTAAGCCAGTAGCAACAGCTTCCACACTTTTCCAGTCCCAAGTATGATTCTCTGAGATAACACCCACTTTCACCAGGATAGCAATGAACACAGCTTGCCTGAGAGAGTTTACAAAATAATTACTATCTACTGTCCACGTTAAGCTTACAGTACTTCACCAGTGAGTAATATATAGACTCAGAATAATCAGGTTCATGAAAAAAGTCATCAAGTTTAAGATACAGAGAGATTTACCAAAAAGAGACAAACACCACCATTTTGACACATAGGAATTTGCCCACTGGATGGATGGGACTCAGTTCCTCTCTGAGAGCCCTGTAGAACAGCACCAGGCAGTACATGGCAAACTAGATCAAGAGAAGACAAGTGGAGAGAAATTTAGATGAAAATAGGCTGCTTGTAACATTTTGACATGAATCTTAACAAGCTCCCAGGCCCCATTTTCTGATGCAGTCCTCACTTGAGGACCATTTTAAAAATTACCAGCTGTGACATATTGTTGAAGATGACGAGGTACGTCCATGCATTTTTCGAGCTGAAGTTTCCTTCATCATACACTCCACAGAGCTGACAGATCCTAGGATGAAACGGCCGCAATATACAACAATACAACTGAGAAATGAAACACTCATTTGTATTAAAGAATAACATTAAGTGCATGAAGAGCAGAGCTTACTTACAAGGCAATCACTGTTGTGACAGGTCTTACAACTGTGTACTGCAACACTCCCAGTTTACATCTCAACAATAGAACCCTGCAGAAATAAATGTATGATTTGAATCAGAATTACATGTGTTTCACAGCATCTAGTTTGCTAATATCAGGCAAATCTACTAATTTGACAAATCTGATTGGTGCGTTTTTAAATTCCATGAGTATATATGGATCAAAGTGTGGAGGGTAATGATTAATGTATCTCTTTTACACAACATTTACACCAGTGTTGGAAGCAGAATGAGCATTTATATAGTTTTATGATATATTAGCTGCCATACAGTAAGATGAACCTGAAAGTAACAGTTTGACATGATGATATTATGCAGCATCCACTTTGGTGTAAAAGTGGCCACATGGATTCTATGCATTGAAGTCCTAATCGTAAAAGTGTTATGATTCTGGGAGAAACTCACTCTCCCATTGGCCACGGTGGACAGCAGCAGAGAGGAGGCAGGTGTTCTTGCTGCTCCTGGACCTCCAGCATCATCACTAGGTTGGGGTACTGGTTTTCCAGGTAGTTAAGCAAGAAGGTCATAAAGTTGTAGATGACATAGGCCTCATAGCACTCTCTGCATGTATCCACGTAAATTGCTATACTAGGGTATTTTAATGCAATCCACTGCAAAATAAAAAGAGAGAACAAGGAGCACATATAATTGTCAAATAGTGTGCTGCTTAAAAATTCTCTTAAGGCTGCTGCTTGAGATAATATATACACAATAAGAGGCACACAATGGCTTTGACTAAAAAAGTCAGAACTTACACTGTCCAGGCTGTAGATTGGGACCATCCATAATATCCTGAAATAAGAACACACACAATTAAGTTTCAGACTTCTGATCATGGATGACAAGACTGTTGACATTTTTTTACCTGATGATAGGTTTCTGAAGCTCTGGCTGAGTATAGTGAACCAAATGCTGAAGAATGCCCCATAATGATATGGGTATGGTCATGAAGACAAATATCCCAGCGATGAACCATGCTTTATTATGTGTGCCAACCTGTCATTACATGGGAAAAAATGGTTAACTTTAAATATATTTCTCCACTTAAGTCTGGGAAACCAGCAATTTAGCAACCCAGAATTTTATTTTTCCACATTTAATATGATGTAAGAAGTGAACACAGTATTCACATTCAGATCCTTGTCTCGAGTAAAATCACAGTACAATTTTGTAAAAATTCTTCGTTTCAAGGAGGAATTAAGTATTATAAAGTATTATTGGCTAAATGTGCTGAGTGAACTAAAAATAATTATACTCATAATGTATTATGTTTTATAGTGTTATATGATGTAGATATTACCTTATAGGAATATTAATACATACACACACATTACAGTAGTGTTTTACAATTGATCACAAACATTTCTGTCTAAATTTCAGGCCCAACATCTTTGCCAGAACACGGCTGTCCCCAAGTTTTCGTAACTTAAATCAACATGTTCAAAGAATTCTTAGAAGTTACTCAAGTAAAGTTCACCGAAATTGTATTTGAATACAGTACCTGTCTACTAAGTTGTTTAGTTAGATTTCACCTCTGTGTTATACCGACAGCGTTCACAGAAGCAAACTTATTAGCAACATGTCAACCAAAGCCATCAATTGCTTGAACTGACCTCTGACTTTTGCAGTCCCCAGATGCACAAGGGCAGGACGACTATAAGCAACAAAATATACAGCACAACAACCAACGGCCGAATCCATCGTCTCCAGTTCCCACAGGAACAAGGCATCTTCACATAAAGACGCGTAAGGCCTTTAAAACTGGCTGCAGGTTCGGTGACAAAAGAACTTGACTTGTCTAGAAACCGTTGCTAATGCTCGAGACATTTAACGTTAGCTTAGCATTGTTGCCCTTTCAACAGCTCAAGAAGACCTAAGAAAACCCTCCACTACTGTACATGAATGTTAGCTTATTTACAAATGCTAAGTTTCAGTCACAAGGACAAAGGTGATGGATAATTATCAACTCATATGACTCGATTATATCCAAGCTAAGCCGTTAGCTTGTCAGCTGATTCCCCATGTAAACAAAGCTAATGATCCATGCTGTCCGAACGGTTAAAAGTCTCTCAGTAAGTTAACTAACTCTACGAAATAAAACTCCCACCTGCTACATCAATTTTGCCCCTAGATAAATGTACACCTATTAGTTTTAAAGCCGATTCGCGTTTGATAAAAGTTTCCAAATAATTAATTACTTCCGGTTGTCCACTGTTCTAGAACAGACATAGTCCCGCCTGCAAACTAGAAGATAATTGGCGGTAAGAGGTCAAGTAACCAATCAATAGAGAGAGTTTGATACCCATCCCCATCCCCACCCCCTCGCCGCATGACGTCACATGTTAGTTTGGTTGCTCTGCATTCTCGTTGACCACATAATCTATATTTCCGCCACCAGATGGCGATGTGAATTTACAATTTCCAGGATACCAAGCTTAAAGTTTATTATAATGTCGTTAGTTTTTAAACGGCTGGGCTTAGACTAGTTATCATGTACTCTCGTTATGTGCTTTCCTAAACTATTTATGGACCATATCTAGGCCCTTCTTTGTAAAAGTGTTGTGTTCTGTTTGGTCTGTCTATGCACTTTGAAAAGCACAGGTGTAGCCTATTTATAAATGGTGCATTCATCTTATGGGTGGTACTGGTATTTGCTTGTGTTTCAAGTGCAATATTCCTGCATTGAAAAAGTTTACAGTTACATTAGTGGTGGCGTTTAAATTCCATATACAGATCAAATGTTTTATGCCCGTTTAGACTGAATAAATGACTTAGACTAGAACTACTGCTTTGTCTCTTACCTGTGCTGAATAATACAACTAGTCCTATATGAAATTAATCAAACTGTATTTTATTCATCACGTTTGAGTAAATAATAGTGAAAACTACATAAGTTTAATTTTAATTTTCATCATTAAGATAGATATATTTCAATAATGTATGAGTATAATGTTATACATATTTACATATTTTTAAAAACATTTTGTGGTTTTAGAGAAGTCAGTCCAATTTAAATCCAACAGCAGTGAAAATACTTTTTGATTGATTAACATGAGTCAAGCTGGATTTTATTGGTGCTTAGGGCATAAATAACCATCATATTTTGACTATGACCCCTTGTTCCCTCCCTTTGAAAGGATATTTATCTTAGTTTGTACTGTGCTTGGGGTCTATACATATTTTTTGTTTATGAATATTGTAATCACAAACAACCATCAGAACTTCCTCTTTACCATTTCTTAATGCGTGCATGTGTATGTGTACATGCTTGAGTATATCAAGATCTTTGATCTTGATATGTGTATATGTTTGTGTGTCTTCCTGTAAAACGAGGGGAGGCAGAACTTTCCTTTCTGTCGCACCATTTCTCCCCTGCCCCACAGTCACAGAAATCAGTGGTTGTTGCGGGACAGATTGTTCATGAATTTTGAATAAATCCTTTTGGCTTTTATGAATTAGAAATAGTCTTTGCCACAAGTTGTGCAAGTAAGTGCCACGGTGGATAGCTTGGAGGGACTGCCATGCAAGGTGGCATACAGAGTACAGCCATGCAAGGGCAGGGTAGATAAACATATGCTGTGTTTGATCAGACCCAAAACATATTTTAGCATAAAGGATGAAGCGTCCATCATATCTCACAGATCCATAGCCATAACTTTGGGGTGAAGCAGCTTCCAAAGTGTGTGCCTTGTAGCAAACACACATACATGGGATAAACAGAAATGACAGTTCTGAAGAACAACAAAGAAGGAGACATGTTGTTCGATATAATGAATCAGCCAAAGTGCACCTCTTTTTTGTCAGAGGACTGAGAATTGTTTAATAATTACTTCTTTATCTTAATATGTCTGCTAGGGGCTTTTGACTTAGGAAATGTTTAGACTCAGTGAGGGTGTTTAATACATCTGTCCCTGAACAACAAGATGCTGTAAGTGAAATAGAATGCAGTCGATGAAGCTCTTTAAAGTCATACAGCCTGAACGGTAGTTATATAAAAACTGGTGTGCAGCAACAATGTCACCAACTGGGAGTAAATAAGGAGTGGAGCCAAAGTTATATAAAAGAAGCACTATGTGTGTTTCATCTTTACAAAAATAAACAATTAGATTCTTAATAATATATGGTTTATTATTTTATAGAATTAGGGATTTGATTTACTTTTTACATGTATTTCAAATGTGCCACCCCTCTCTGAGTCTGTGCCCCAGCCTGGCCACCCTGCTCAAAATTTGGTATATCTGCCCGTGGCCACAGGCTGGTGAAGGTGGAAAGTATACCCATGTATTGGTATTATTGGTATTAGTGGTGTGTTTTTAAATTTCATGAGTAAGACAGACTAAGGCATTATTGATGTAGTTGACAATAACAAAAATACTGAATACATCCAGGGTTATTGAGTGTATTGTTATTATTATGACAAAGTACTACAGTGAGTCACACTTGGTGATCCTGGATTAAACTGCTAGGAGGCTCAATGACAAAAAAGGAGCTTATACTTATCGTATCAGTAATATAAATAACAAATAAGCTCTGCACACAGAAGTGCTTTGGACCATTGAGATCTTCTATTATTTCTTTTTAGCTGTGTTCAATTTGCTGGCAAGAAACGGGGTTCCCACCAAATTACACTGAAATAAAACAATTCTGTTTTCACTCTCTCTCTTCACTTTCTCTCACACACTCTTTGTCTTCCACTTTCAAGCACAATATATTCTAAGATGTTCTGTGCAAAACCTATTTATTTATTAGTTATATATAATTTTATTTTATTTTTTTATCCTCTGCTTCATTAGAATGTGAAATGTTATATCTTAGCAACCAGAGTTCTGAGCATTTCATTGTTCCTTCAGGGTCATTGGAGCTTAATTGTGACATGATATCATGCAAGGAATATGGAACATTTCATAAAGTTTATGACTTGGCAGAGGTTTATCTTCAGCATGCTGAAACAAATAACAGGCCAATGTCTGATAAAGTCATGGCTGCTCCCCTGTTCTGTTGGTCTTGGGTGTCCTTCAGCTTTGTGTATAGGGTTGCGTGGTTCTGGCAATAGTCTGTTTTGGAGATTAAATAGAGAGAGTAATCCTGGGTTAGTCGACCCTTTGGTCACGGCAAAGTAGACCCTGAATTGTGAGAAGTTACCACAGGTACACCGTTGATACTTGATGTAACTAGTACTTTATTAAATGGATTTAAATGAAAAGCTTGTTCCATTAAAGTTGAAACATGTCTGTGTTGCAGTAAATTGCTGCTTGCATTAATACTATTCAGTTTTTAGTAACATCCTTATATTTATGACCATTATGACATTGTTTATAAGCAGAATGGATATAAAATTGCCATATCAAAGCCATGACTAAATCTTAGATAAGTAATGCTCAAGCGTTTTTCCCATTATCTTCTTTTGGCACAGAAGTGAGTTATACAAATGTAGCCTATCAAATTCCCACCGTTTAAGTCGTTCACATCCTCTGACATTAACAACCCTAAGGGCTCAGTTGCCAAGCAGGTCACAGTGTGCTTCAAATCACTCCCAGATGCCTGTTTCTCATAGATGAGGAGGAAAAACAGAAGGGGCCCCTTGACTTCCTTGAGAAACCAATATTCGTATGTTGGTGAAACAAACCTAGTTCCTTACAGTAGAGATGGAAACTGATTTATTGGTATAAGCAGCAACACTAACATGAGGTTATTAACATGTTAATCAAAGATGACAACCATACAAATTCCATTTTCTACAGATTATTATATGTATATACTCAATGAATAGTGGTAAAATAATACTGTACAGATATCACCGATTCTTCTGTACATAAGTGTGCAAAACACTCCAACTAAAGAAGTGCAAGTAAATATTCACACACAATACACACACACATGCTAACTCACATTCAAACACACAGGTTTACATGTATTCACATATCAAATAGTACATGGCAGTATAGTTGTTTGGTGGCTGAACTGTTACTGATACCACGCTCATGATTGTACAATAAATGTAAAGCCACATCCAGCAGCCTGTTAGCTTAGCTTAGCTTGTCAGAACGTTACTGCACCCAGCCAAGAACTAGTGCAGTACATAACCCAGCTGATAACTTCAGAACTTACACATCTACACGTCTTGTATTTTGTACATCACACAAATCATAAAGAAGTGAGAACTGAGACATGGCTTAACAAGCAGGCAGTGGTGATCTGTGATACCATTTATTTCCTTTCTGATCAGATACCAAATAAAATCCAGGCTGTTATCAGAGATACCAAAACCAATACCTTTGTCCAAAAGAAGGAGGGAAAAATGATGGGTCCAGACAACAGAGACTGATGGAGGAGAGGAGATGGGCTATAAGGTGTGTCTATACAGGCTTGTCACTATTAACGACAGATGGTGCCACCCTGCTTAAATACCTTGAAGGGCCATTTCTGCAGCTCAGGTACTGAACTGTTAGTGATGGGACTACATCCATACTACATACATACATATAGGGACCCTTTACTTGTTTACTCCACCCAGCAACCACATATGACATCTGCTCTGTTGCCAGGAGATCCCCCAAATAAAGTCTTTCCTATTCTGTAGTGTCTCACGTATTTACAGACCACTAGTTTGTATATGACTATGACAGGTGGGAGGACAAATAGTTCCCATCAACCGAGTATTATTTGGACTGGCCTGGATAGCATAGTTATTGTCTACTGTGTCCCCTGTTGAAGACGAGATATACATTCACCCCAAATTAGCCTAATCATTTTAGATATCAATCTTCTAACATGTGTATCAATCCTAGAACAGGAAACACTGGGATCAGAAGTATCGATATTTCAGGATCAATCAGCGCATCACTAGCAGGCAGCTTATCAATGAAGACCCACTCAGTATGGCGCAATTGCCCCATTTGTTTTCTATGGGACACATGTGGCCCATAAAGCATCCAGAAAGGAGGGTACAAAGTTTAAAAAAAAAATTGTAACTTTGTGCAAATTGCCAGGAAAACTAAAGTAGCTTAAATATGTAACTCTTTCTTGTTTAACTGTGATATACACATCACTCTGGCGCTGGCATGCTGACAACATTTAAATGAGACATGTTCGGAGTTACTGGAGGTTGCTCTTCTCCTCATTTGGTAAACCACTCTACATTTCCAGCCAATGAGCCTCACTAACACGTCCCAGACCACCGAGGGGAGATCAAACTGATAAGTCCTCCTCCATTAAACTAAGACAGCAAACAAACCAACCTGTGAAAGGTCAAAGTAGCAAAGTGTCAGTAAGAGTAGTAACTGTCCTGTAATAACAATAATTTCAAAACCTGTTGCTGAACATAGTTTCTACATGGATTAAATGCACAAGTTAAGCTCACTGGCTGCTTACAGGAGCTTATTTAATGCACCAATACATGAGTGGTATCTTCTCATCTAACATTTGGCAGGAAAGCAAATATTACAGGGTAACAAGTGTTTTCCCAAAATGTCCTTTAAGAGTATTTACCACCACCATCAAAAACCCCTCAGCCTCTGTCATTACACAGGTAATGTAGTTTGAGTAAAATACTTATTACTACAATAAAACACTTTATAAAAGTGGACACTCTATAGATATTCCATGGGTTATACACACATAAATGTCACAGTTATTGTTGATTATGTGTGGTAAAATTCACAGTATAGACAAAAGATCATTTCTGCCCATTTTTAGGCAATGCTGACATCAAACCTGTGTTAATGCTATTTATCACTTGCTTGACATTTGTGATGACAATACGGAGTTGTATCCTAAATGATCCACACTAAAACCTACAAACCTGTATTTGATTCTGTGTCAGTGCATTTTGGCGTGTTCTGACACTGGACATCATTCAGCTATAAAATCTTTAATTCCGGATTATTAACCAGACGTCTGGAGGTCTGTAGATCATGATGACATTTGACAGAAATTTCCATAAGGATAAATAAAAAGTTTTTGTCAAGCTGTAAGCAAACGACATTATGTAATTTTACCACAAAGTAGCTCAATGAATAATGAGTGTGAGTAAAACACACTGTGCAGCCCCTCGCATGTTAGATGGAAAACTGATTTGTTGCTCGAGTCGGTAACACACATTCCTGTTTTCCATCATCAATGAATAGGGAGCTCCTGTGGACATCTCCCATCATCCACTCTGACAGTGAACAGCCTGCCTTTTCCTTCCTGTAGCTTTGTGCATCCTTCCCAGAAGTGCTGCTCTTTACAGGAATAGCACACTCAAGCACTGACTCAGAGCAATTTGTTGTCATTGTTCTCAGCTGCATCCTGTTAAAGAATCCTCCTCATCCCGCTCTCCCTCTTCTTCTCACGCTACAGAGTCAGTGTCCGTAGGTGTGGGAACACCAGGAGTTGTCTTAGGATGTTGAAACCCCAGAGAGAGCCGTGGAAAGTTCAAAGAACTGTACATCAAAATCCATTTTTTATTCCTTTTACCTCCAGGTCTTAATCCATGTTTAACATCCAAGTATTTGGTTCAGAAGTCCTTAGGATGTATATTTGTCTGAAAAAGTACTTTTTAGGGTGGGCCTACTGAAACACTTGAAAATACTCCTTAGGCGAACAATCAGTCGCTGTACTTCCTGGTGCCGCGGTCAGTGTGGAGATTATTGGGCTCAGGGATTTTAAACTGATTGCTGGTGCCATTCATGGGTCCAATGCTGCTCTGCTGGTTTTCGGAGTAGCACCAGCAGCACAAACATGACTTGAAGAACATGTGAAAAATGAAAAAAAAGGAGAAAAATTAACAGAAAAGTTCAACATATTGCAAAATGAATTTGTTTTGTTTTTTTGTTGGATACCACTCACATACTAAATATGAAATTGTTACAAACACTGAGGTCAGGGAGAAACAGTTAGCTTAGCTGCATCTAAAGATAAAGTAAATAAACATAAATGTGACCAGTTATGGTTCCATGTGGTGTTACAGCCATATGAAGTTACGAGCAGTGACTTCCTAGAGGAACATATCTTAACCCTATAGCTTCGTATTTAGCAGACAGATGTGAGCATGTTATCACTCGGCAAAAAAGCAACTACATATCAATTTTTCCATGCATGCAGATATCCTCTCTTTGGATCCCCTCCCTCCCTCCCTACCTCCCTCCCATAACTGCTTTAACGTGCAAACCGGAGACATGGTTTATCTTCAGCCCAGGTCCATTTGACAGACATTTGCAATGTGTGACCTCAGTCAGCAAAGTGAATACATAAATCACCAGAAAGCCTTTACATGTTGCTCATGGAACGTCATCACAGGCTCTGAGTCATGGACAAAGGCTTGAGTTCACTGTTTATTTTACTGGCTAGATTACATCAGAAGGTTTTTGTTAAGTGTATGTGTGTGAGATAAAAAGTGATTCTGTGAGTGTGTTACATGCATTCATATCCATCAGTTGTAGGG